TCATGTGATTAGCTGCTGTGCGTTGCGCCCGCACGAGCTCCAGATGTGGACCTTACTGTGTCTCCCTTTCTTTAGAGAGCAGGCAGAGGAGAGCCGAGCTGGAGAGCCGCGGGGGGCCCGGGGCCCGTCGGGTCCCTCTGTCCTCTCCCAAAGGGAGACATCGGCAGGGTCCCCGTCTGGAGCACAGTGGAGACGTTAGCTAAGTGCTATTACCCCGAGCTCGCTCACCTGCGAGAGGGCAGTGGCCTTCTAGCAGACTACCCCTTTCCAAAGGGGGCTTGTCCAGGTGAGTCACCCCCCTCCTCCTTCTCCTCCTCCTCCCCACCCACCAACACACACCTGTGTCACAGCTGATTTTCAAGTGTATTCCTTGTGTGCAGCTTACCGATTGAACTGTGTTTCTGAAGTGTAAAACTCTTCCTTTGACTTATATCAAAGCGATATATCTCATCTTGAATTTGCCGCTCATCCCGGCTTTGTAAATATCTCTGCCTCTGACTTTACCTCAAGCGTCCTCTCGGTACGAACCGGCTTGCTGAGGAATATTAGTTGTAATTACATATATCTCCTTCAATTGGCAGCTTCTGGGCCTTTTGTCTAGACTCCCCAAACAACACCGGCCTTTCCAGAGTCAGAACGAAATGGACAATCCTTTTATCTGAACCAAGGGTCGGAAAACAAGATTGTGTTGATAACGTGAGCGTAGACGAACAAAAACCTCAAGGGAAATAAGTTTATATTTCAGAAGCTGCGGTTTTGAAAGGGAAATGACTCCGCTGGCGGAAATGAATCTTGGCGCCATGAAGTCGGAAAGTCTCAATTAGCGACAATAACCTCTTGCCTGATGCTCTCGTGGCGTTTTCAATCACATCCACGACGCATCGCTTGAGAAGAAACCAGACTAAGTCCACCCTCTCTTTCAGCAGCCCTGTCACCCTTCTCCGTGACCCGTCGCATCGGCCACCCCTACCAGAACCGGACGCCGCCCAAGAGGAAAAAGCCTCGCACCTCCTTCAGCCGGGTGCAGATCTGCGAGCTGGAGAAGCGGTTCCATCGGCAGAAGTACCTGGCGTCTGCCGAGCGCGCCACCTTGGCCAAGGCCCTGAAGATGACCGACGCACAAGTCAAGACCTGGTTTCAGAACAGGCGGACAAAATGGCGGTAAGATTAGAGGGAAGGGGGCGCGGGGGTCCATCGGTGCGACGCAAAGGCGTCGCGGTTCTCTCCTCCACGCGGCTCGTGGTCGCTCCTTTAAGATGGTGCTCGAGGTTTCGTCCCCATGAAGGGCAAGATGGTGCGGGCG